CAGTTGCACCCAGGTTTTGTGGATGGATGAGTGCAGTTCCTTATTTGGATTCTAAACACTTAGCTAAGATTATATCGTTTTAAGGCATACCTGAGCACATATATACTTGTTTAGCCTTATGGGACACCCCTGTTGACCGTGACTGACAGTCTGCGTGAAAAAAAATGATTTAAATTTCAATCAGATGTAACTTACTTTAAATGTTTTTTATCTCTTGCTCTGTAACATTAAGCTAAAGTGGTTTTGGTGACTATAGTGTCACTTTAAGCATTTTATTCTATTCAACACAGTTAAATGTGTATATTGTTAAATGTGTTACCAATTTAAATATTCTCAATTCCTCCCTGAAGGATCAGACCAGTATTGTTTACATACTTTATTCCACACTTACTCAAGATCATAAGAATGATCTGTTTGCTGTTTGTTATTTGATGAGAAATTTAAAATGTGAGAAAATCGTGACATTTTAGTTATTTGTTTTAAATAGTCTTGCGAAGAAATGCCATATATCTACACAAGAAGCACAGCGAAACAGATTTATAACATGCCACATAGTAACACATGACTTGTTTTATGATTTATAAAAGTAAGAGTCAAGCTATATTGAATATCTTTTCAGTAAATAATGTTTACTGCAGGAAAGGGCATTTAGAAAATCACATGATGTAAACATGATTTACAATACCCTTGAACACAAATTTAATTTTACATCCAGGAAACTAATTTTCTCGTTGATAGTTTGTGCTGTCATGTTTCTTTATAATATGGGGATTAACAGATGGGCAGTAGTGTGGCTAATTAGGGTTTCGGCCTTGTCCAAGGGTAGACTTAGTCATGGTGTTATGGGTATAGAATCTGTTCTTGGGTGGGAGTTTGGCCTAGATAGGCCAATGACTAGTGTTGGGTTGTGTTGTTAGACTGAGCAGTGGACAAGTGAGTAGTGGAGATGGGATGTAAGTGCAAGTAAATAGGATATGTGACAGGTGGGTAGTGATTAAGGCCTGAGAACATTTGCCTTAGGCTTCTGTTTCAACAATTTTGCAGCAAAATACTTCAAAGCTATTGCAACATTGTATTAGTGTAGACATTACTTAATTTGACCTAATTTTATTAAAGGACACGGAGGCTCATATTGTGCTTTCTCTTTCTTTAATATACCTCAGCAGCAAAGAAAAAGAAATGCATAAACATAAACAAAATCAAACTGAGTACTCAAAGGGTTAACATAGTCTGATATCCCAACCAATAGGAACAGTCCATCTATCAATAGCCACCCATGTGACCTTTCCTCTCCCTCTTTCTTTGCTGCTGCTGCCTCAGCTAAGTATCACCTAATTTTAGCTCTCTTCAATGTCTGTTCATACTGTGTGTTTAACCCATTTGCAATCATATGTTTAGATACACTTGTCTGTTGATATGTTTTAAATGGTTAATTTCATTCTTTCTGCTTTGTATGTTTCTTTGTAGCTGTGGGGGTGACTGGGGGGCCAGCGTTTCCCTGTCTGGGCTCTCCGCCCTCATTCTCCGTTCGGGGAACTCTGCTAATCCTCCCTCCCCCTCTCACCCCGCCGGGTAGTTTATTACCCTGATTGCGCTCACCGGCGGCCTCCCCAGCTGATCTCCGCGCCGACTGCTGCTGGCGCGATCAGTGTCAGCCGGGTCGGCGTGCGCATGCGCGGTGACAGCCGCATAGTGCGGCTGCCATATTTTCAGCCGGCTTTTCGGCGGGCTAGGTTCCCGCGCTTTCTCTCCGACACTCCCTGCCCCCTGAAGGGCGGGAGCATTCGGGGTGGGTGTTGGCTGCAACTGTCAGCTCCCTAGTGTTCCCCCCTCTGCTTCCATTCCGGAGGGAATGTGGTGGAATCTCGGTAAAAATAAATTTAGTAGGCCGAGATTACCATGTGGCATGTGTACGTGCATATGCTGACGTATCGATCAGTTGGTTGTGTGGAGTGTTGATCATTATTTAATGTGTAGTTTGCAATATATATATGTATTATATGGTATGGTGCATATATATATCTAATATGAATGTACATTTAGCTGTATAACATAGGTGTATGAAATAGTGCAGGCCTTTTTGCTTAGATTTGAAAAAGTTAAATTTTCAATGACATTTCCACAAGGTTAACAGCTAAAAGGTTGAAGTTAAATTAGAACAAACACATGTGTTGTCAGTCAAATGTATACAAAACACTTCACTTAATTTTGAAGCTAACTATAGGCAGAGCCATCTAGGGTATATCCCAAACTTAGATATTCAATACATTACATCTTGCAACAAGTTAGAATACCTTTTTGGGAGTATTACACAGGTGGGGGCTGCTTTATGGAGGACAAAATGGCTATTTAACTGAAGGAGAAAGAGTGTGACGTTGTCATTCATTCACCATTCATTCATTCATCCATCTACTCTTACTCTGCCTGCTGTCACCACACATCTGAAAGGTATACAGGGACATATGCTGTAGCCACTAATACATTTGGTAAGATTAATTATTTACTGACTATTTTTGCATTCTGTAACATTCATTCAATACACTTTTATCTTATATTTATTTGAGTCATTGTTTCATTTATTACAATATTATTACAGTGCCTTTTGGGTCTTCAGACACTGGATTATTTTAGTGATAGTCAAGTTATCATCTAGAATGGTTAAGGAAAACAGTATTTATAAGTAATTTGGGAACGGAAGGGTCTGCTCCGTATACAGCTATAGATTGCATAAAGACACACTAAGCTTAGAATGACCCGGAGTGACCTTTTGTCGGTAAAGGTCCACATCATACCTGAAGCGAGCCATAACTATCAATATTGAAGGATCACCGAAAACCGACATTCTGGGGGCCTCGTCCTTGGGTGGTTTAGTCGTGTCTTTTGCAGTGGAGAACACGGTGTACTCAGTTGTTGGAAGGATCCTCGTTTTGTAAGTATGTCTTTCTTTAAGTTTCCAAATAGGATAGGCAATCTTGAATCTAGATCATGTGACCCTATTGATTTAAATACTGAACAGAGATCCGTTAATTCCCCTGTTTTGTTTTCTTTCCCTTCTGTGTTTCAAGAATATATAAAATGTTGGATTAAAAAATATGGAGGTCCATTTAAGTTGGGCGAAAATATAAGTGATGCACTGTTTCTAGAGGACATTTTTCAAGTATTACCCTCAATAATGCAGCTTAAAGATGACAAAGTAAAAAAGGGTAGAAGTTTGCAAGCTTTACTAGATATGCTAATGATGTCCCTCCAAATGATTGAACAGTTGCAAGTTAGTTTTAATCTGCAAACTTCTCTTATTGATACGCTGCATGTACAATTAGAAGATTACCGCACCCAGGCACAAAATGCAGCTCACACTGCTGGATTCTTACAAGATAAAGTTCATAATTTAGTATCCAAAAATATAATCCTTGATCAAGCTGTAGACACCTTACAATGCCTGCGTACTAAGCACTCTCCTTCTTTAAAACTAGGAGGTAAGGCTCGGGGAAGTGCTATATTTAAAAAATCCCCTGTTGCTCATGAAAACAAATGGATTCAGATAATGGTGGTGAATTTGTCAATACCATCCTGAAAGAGATAACAAGTTGGTTAGATCTCCCTTGGGATTTCCATATTGCTTATCACCCTCAAAGCGGAGGCATGGTTGAAAGGATGAATGGCCAGATAAAAAAGGAACTAAGCAAAATATGTAATGCCAATGGTAAAAATTGGGATATTTTACTGCCTTTTGTCCTTGCTTGGATGAGATCTAGAGTTAACAGGCATATTCAGATGTCTCCTTATGAAGTACTTTTTGGTCGCAGTATGCCTTCATGGGAACGCCTTTTGCTTCCTATGGATATATCTACCTCTGTAGCATTATGCAATGAAGAATGGGCCAAAGAACATTCTCTATGGCTCACCACTGTACAAGGACAGGCGCTGCACACAGATGTGGTGTCCGCCTTAAAAAGTAAAAGTGATTTTGATAAAAAATCTGACCTCACTGAATACCAAGTGGGAGATTCTGTGTGCATGCTTAAACAAGGACAGAAAAACCCTAGGAAATTTCCTAAAGATTGCTGAGAAGGTCCATATCTTATTGTGGACAAAGTGGGACCCTCAGTTTATCTTATTCAAAAATCAGATGGTTTAAATGTCTACAAGCATGCAATGCAGCTTAAATTGTTTAAGGGCTCTTAAAGCCCTCTGTGTGTGTTATTCTATATTTACTTTGTTTTTCAGAAAGTGTACAAAGAGACTGAGACTCTAGAACGGCTGTTCCAGACTCTACTTTTCACTATGAATGATCGGCGCCTTTACATCTAATCTTCATTTGAAAAAAAAAAAAAAAAAGGTCCTACCGGATGTACAAAACTAGCTTTGGCTAGACTACTTTCTGCACGTATTGCATGTTTTCTTAGTGTGATGCTTTCACTTTGTATGTTATTTACTAATAATAAATAGTAACGTCTTGTAACAATCTCTTTATCCACATTTTTACATGTTATATTTGAAGTTTGGTGCCATTAATTTACAGTTTGATCATAACTAATTATTTTGTTGGTTTTCATAATCTACAAATTAGACTATGGCATCTTGGACATGTTTGGTGGGATGCGTTACAGTGATTTGTTTGCTCTATACCTTTACTAACATTTGGCATCCAGATAATCATAATCTGCAGAAGCGTCTTGCCACTTCTTATGAAGTGCTTGCTCCTTTTAAACCTATATATTTAGTCTCACACCCTACTACCAGCATTGACCTTATCTTTTCTTTGTCTAACTTTCAGCGTAATAGTGTTAGATCTAACCGTCCCATATATCATATTTCTCATAGTTCTGCATCCCCACAATTTGTTGCACTTTTTATTGCTAGTGTTCCAAAATTTGACTATGCTCAGCTATGGCTTATTAATAAAACCCATCTTCTGATTCCAGAATATGGTGCACTTCCGCATCTTGATAAGAATATTTGTTTGATATGCAGTATTGATTTGCAATCCGCTACTTCTGGCATTTTTCATAATTCTAACAGTCGCCCTATGGCTAACATGGATAATCTTAATACCTGTGGAAGTCTAGAAGTCCAGGACTCTAATTCTGTTGCGATGCCTGCAACTATTTTGGTTAATACTTCCAACCCCTCTGATTCCGTAGGTGAATGGCAATGTACAGACAATGGTATTCCACAGTTTATAGTTAGAATTGATGAAGTAGCACAGCCTTCTACTCCTATAGCTTCTGTATCTCCCTCTACGCCTATACCAGAATCTACCACACCTCCATTTCAGGAAGGTGACCCTATTCAAGTTCGTTTGGACTCTGCTACACAAGTAGCATATGATGTTTCATATCGTTTGGTTACCTGGCACTTACAATTAAATAAATGGTTGGTTTCCACACAATATTCCAATTGTACGCCATTCGTATCAGTACAGGAAAGAGCTTTTCAGTGGTGGTTTTTTGAAAGCATGTTGTATAATGTATCACTTCGATCACACCATCGCCCTAGACAAGATATTTTAGCTACTGGGTTAGGTACATATGGTAGTGTCGTGGGATCAGCTGCACAAATTAATTTGGAAATTCTAAGATATAAACTTGCTTCTTTAGCCTCTCATACTTCTACGGGTCTGGATACCCAATATGGTATTAATACTAATATTGTTAAGCTTCAGCAGCATCAAACTCATGTTATGGTAGATACAACTGAGATTATTTCTGATAAGTTTCACACTCTGGTCGACTCAGTTTACAATTTTACTTGTGATACTGCATGGGCAATGCTATTGTTCACAGGTTCAGGCTGATCTGTCTACCGATCTTAAACTTCAGTTGCAAAGTTTATGGTCAGGTAGATGGCCTGCTTCGTTGAGTCGTGCTGCTTCAAAATCTGTGACTGACTTTGCGATGACTTATCTTTTGTGGTGGGAAGTTCTTCTATCTGACTGCTCACTTGAAAAATGTGCCATTCATACATTAATACCATGGGCAGGCAAAGATGCTATTATTTATCGTTTAGCTACAATTGGCCTACCGTCTAACGGGTCATTATTATTGCCTGAACTTTCACATCAATGGGTAGCCCAGGGTACGGATAGTTCTAACTGGACCCTTGTAGACATTTCTTTGTGTCACTCTAATGCTAATTCTTATATATGTTCTCCATCCCAATATAAAACTACTACTGAAACATGTTGGGTTAATCAGGATGAATGTAGTTTTCATGGTCAATTTAATGTTACAAATCCTGTCTACTACTTGGGGTTAGATCGTGTTTGTTTTCACTTATTTCAGCCTGATCAAATTATTTTTAAAACACTGGATAAATCTCTTCTCAGCACTCACTTATTGCCTGGCACTTGGTGTAATTCCATTCCTGTGTCTTACATTGCTTCTTCAGTATGGAACTTCACTATGCCTCAACTTACTAACATAAGTTTGGATTTATCATGGGAACGTATTGTTGATTTTTCCATGTCAGATTTGCCCCTAGGTATGGGTTCTGAGATGAAAAAATGGTTAACTGACTCAACATCAATTACGACATTGCTTAATTCATTAAAGAGTGTTTTGCACCAAGCTCAAATTACTGTCACACATAAACAAGGGATTCTTAAACAAGTCTCTGTTGCTGTTAAGCAAGATGGCCAGACCTCATGGTGGGAATCTGTTTTGGGATACAGTAATACTGCTACACATTTTTTTAATGTAATGTTGCATCCAGTTGTAGTTATTTCTCTCTTACAATTGATTTTATTTTTATTCATCTGTATTAGTGGTTGTTATTTCAAAAGTTTACATCGTAATCTGTGTAGAAAGGTGACTGTGTTGGAAGACTTAGAGTCTAGGCATAAACGCCTTCTCCCATTATATACATTAAATGGTTATTCTGTATCTTTAGATCCCTCTCAGCTTCCAACTCCTTATTAATTATGGATTTTATTCTGTGTCCATGTTCTTACATTATTTTTGTTTTCTTTTAGATCTCCATTTTGCTTTTCTTCTATGTCATAACTGGTTCCTTACTTTTATTTTTAAACAGCACTTGGGCGTTTCTGTCTCTTTAAGTTAAATACTAAGTGGTACATTCTGATGACAGGTTTACCAGCTACACTCTATTACCAGTGACTTTCTCTGTCAACGTATATCCAGCTGCTTTTATTACGCTTAGTTGTGAAGAATTCCTATATCTACAAGAGTTCCTACTGACTGCTATGCTGTCTATGGGTACAATCGGTACTAGGATGAAGACTATGCATATTATTTCTACTGACTATTTTCTAAACTTTGCATATACCTAAGGAATTGAGGAGCTAACATGGTTATCCTACTTCTCAATCTTCCTGTTTGGTTGCTGTGACCGTTCTATTGTCACTGTCTTGTGGTGTTTCTCATGCTGCAAATTTCTATTTCATTCTGCGGCCTGGACTCTAATTCTGAACTCTCCATGAACTATGTTTCTTGCTATGTCGCTGATATTCCTTCTATTTGAATTCCGAATTTGATTCTGGTTTTTGACTTCTTCAATCAAGATATCTAAAGAACTTTGATGTAGCTTTAACACAGTTTACTACGTCACTCTGTGTTATGTTTCTTATTCCTGTGTTTCTGCTGGTACCACTTGTATTTGATTTTTTTTTTTTTGCTTTCATTATTGCTGTATTCAATTTTTTTTTTCCCTCTCTCTTTCTCTTCTCTTCTCTTTGGCACAAGTGTTGTTTTGTTTTTGATTTTTCTCTGGTTTTCTCTTGTTTTTCTTTTTGGTTTTGTCATAGAAGAAAAACAAGTGGGGGAGTGTGGAGTGTTGATCATTATTTAATGTGTAGTTTGCAATATATATATGTATTATATGGTATGGTGCATATATATATCTAATATGAATGTACATTTAGCTGTATAACATAGGTGTATGAAATATTGCAGGCCTTTTTGCTTAGATTTGAAAAAGTTAAATTTTCAATGACATTTCCACAAGGTTAACAGCTAAAAGGTTGAAGTTAAATTAGAACAAACACATGTGTTGTCAGTCAAATGTATACAAAACACTTCACTTAATTTTGAAGCTAACTATAGGCAGAGCCATCTAGGGTATATCCCAAACTTAGATATTCAATACATTACATCTTGCAACAAGTTAGAATACCTTTTTGGGAGTATTACACAGGTGGGGGCTGCTTTATGGAGGACAAAATGGCTATTTAACTGAAGGAGAAAGAGTGTGACGTTGTCATTCATTCACCATTCATTCATTCATCCATCTACTCTTACTCTGCCTGCTGTCACCACACATCTGAAAGGTATACAGGGACATATGCTGTAGCCACTAATACATTTGGTAAGATTAATTATTTACTGACTATTTTTGCATTCTGTAACATTCATTCAATACACTTTTATCTTATATTTATTTGAGTCATTGTTTCATTTATTACAATATTATTACAGTGCCTTTTGGGTCTTCAGACACTGGATTATTTTAGTGATAGTCAAGTTATCATCTAGAATGGTTAAGGAAAACAGTATTTATAAGTAATTTGGGAACGGAAGGGTCTGCTCCGTATACAGCTATAGATTGCATAAAGACACACTAAGCTTAGAATGACCCGGAGTGACCTTTTGTCGGTAAAGGTCCACATCATACCTGAAGCGAGCCATAACTATCAATATTGAAGGATCACCGAAAACCGACAGGTTGCACGAGGCAAGATACGATCAGTAGTGTACGGAGCATGTGCAAGAATACAGGATGTAGTATTCCCCTCCTCCATTGTGCTGGACAAGCCATGCGGTTAAGCAGGAAGTTAATTCTTATTTGTAATGATTGGTCAAGAGAATGTGCGGGTGGAGCTTAATATGGGAGGAGTTATGTGCCTATATAGGGAGCCTGCACTATTGTTCAGGGCTCAGAACTTGCTGTATTTTTGGTGACATTAGTCCCTCTGAGTCCCGATCGGTGATCCAATAAAGAATCTCTTCCTTCCTGAAGAAACCTGTGTCCATCCCTCTGTGCTTTGCTTCCGTCAGTTTCTCCGGTATCAGGAACACTAGGTAAGCCGACAGCTTGTTTGTGCCTTGCCCTCACACCTGCCAGTGTAGTCTCTGAGTGGTTAAAGACTCCTTAGTTATTTCCCCCTGAGCCTTAAAGCGACAGGCTAGTTGTTTGTGTCACCTTCAGTCACATTCCTGTTTTTGCCAC